GTGATCACACACGAAAATTACACCAGCGTAGACCCAGATAGCTAGGCAGAATCCCACAACCTGCTCACATGGGGCTGGCTGGAACAAGAATGTACAATGTACACACAGCCTGCACAGCCAGCTTACAGCACCTCCAAAGTGTGCTCAACCAGCTAACACCAGCAGAAGCACCCTGGATTGACAGTGCGCATTGCCAGCTGACAACACCAGCGCCAGCACCCAGGATCACAACATGAGCACTGATGCCTTTTCGAAAGCGCATTCGTATGAGTAATAGAACCTGTAACACAGTAATCTGGTATAATGGAGTTGCTCGTGCATTCCAAAAAGCAAACAAGCTGGTTTTACTGGGTCTTTGGACTTGTAGGTGGTGCCTCTGTGAGTGATATAGGGTGTTGATCTGGATGGCAAGCGGCTAAGCCAAAAACCGCAGTAGGATTTCAGCTAGGAACCAAAGGGTGTCGATCTGAATGGCAAGCGGCTAAGCCAAGAACCGCAGTAGGATTTCAGCTAGGAACCAAAGGGTGACGTTTGGATGGCAAGCGGCTAAGCCAAGAACCGCAGTAGGATTTCAGCTAGGAACCAAAGGGTTGCGTCTCGATGGCAAGCGGCTAAGCCAAGAACCGCATCGTCTGCATGAATGGCACAATCTGGATGCCAGAGCTGGTTGTGCAAGGTTGAGCACGACAACCTGAAGCTCAACTTGGCAAGGGCTGCAACAGCCTGCAGTGAGCCAGCGTCTGACGACTCTTCCTCGCTGGATGTCTGGGTTGCGAGACTGTGGACCAGGATTCAGGGTTCGCAGAAGATTATGGCTGATCTTCAACTTGGTGCTCCCAGGGAGCAAGATTCGGATGAATCAAGGTGGAGGTCGGACTACATCCAAGGACGCACGCAGCCCTGCAGACAGAGTTGGATGTGACCAGGTCCTTGAAACTGGCCAGATAGTCTGCCACATGACCTGTGGCCACCTCACCAAGGCATTCTGGGCTGCGCCCCCCAGGCCCTCGTCCGAGGAGATCTTGAGTTCTGAGGCAGAACTCGGAGCTTTGTGCCACCACATGTGCCAATGCGTGCATCAGGGACGCCTGGGACTCCTTCCATGTCATGGTGAAGGCAAGCAAGCTCTGGCTTCTACGGTGACGGTGAAGGCTATGCCGATGCGATGACCGGCTGCGGTTTTCAGGCCATCACTGAGCTTGGTATCAGCGCCAGTGGCCAATGGAGCTACACAGTCTTAGGCCAAGTGTGGGGCTATGGAATGGTGGACGCAGATGAGCTGAGCCACACTTGGAGGAGATCATATCGCAAGCAACAAAAAGGCTCATGCCGTTGCACACCTAGCGGTATGGTATTCATACGCTGCATCCGTCAAGCAGATCAGTGCAGTGAATGCCTTTGGTCCAATGCTCCAGGCAGCTGTGAGGCTGTGACAAAGCAAAGTGGACCAAATCAATCTCTCTCAGATGGCAGGCTCAATGTCCTGATCTTCCCCTGAGACACTGTCGAGGCACAGTTCCTCGATCCGATGTCAGAGTGACCGTCAGGATGGCGTGACTACTGTTGCCATGAAGAGGCAAGGCTTAATGCTGTTCCTCTGAGGAGCATTTAGCGTGGGCGGAATAGGGCCCCAGCGGAGAGACTCTGGGAGACCAGCTTGTCTCGCCACTTGCTGTGCCACAAGTGGGTGTGGTCCGCATCCTGATCTGCGAGGACCTTCAGTAGAGATCAACTGCAAGACGCCAACGAGCTTGAGGTCAAGGACATACTAAGCAGATCTATTTTTGTCCACGTGAAAGTGAGGTGGATGCGCCGCAGTCACAACCTTCGACGGGTATATACCAGATAGACCCATTCCCTAGATGCAGGCAGCTTTGCTGCTCTCTAGTGCGCGTGACTGGCAGTTGGTGGCTTTCACGCAGCAAAGCTGCGAGAGGCTCAAAACCCTGACAGCCCAAAGACGTACACATTTATTGTTTGCATGCCAAAGGGTCAGACACAGTGAGACCTGTGGCTGTGTGAGCAGCAAGGGTTCAAACAATCTTCTGTCTTCTCAGCACATCCCTATGCTTGTTTTTCTGCTCTCTTTTGTTGTGGCTTCGTTAATTCACTGTACCGAGGCCTAGGTGTGCACTTTGTGCACCTTGTGCCTATCACCAACGACTGACGTACTGTATCCCAAATGAAAAAGAGGGCTATGGATCCCTCACCCCAATCCCTTCTGTGGCTTTGTATGCACCTTTGCATGGTGTGTTGTTTCTGTTGCTTCTGTGTGTGTGGTATGTTGCTTCTGTGGTGTGTTGCTCCTGTTGCATGACACGCCATACTGCCTTCTGTGACAATTCGCATGGTTGCATGTGCCAATTCACATGGTTGCATGGATCCCTCATCCCATGAGGCAGAAAGGACCCATTCCCTTCATGGGAGCGTGTTTGGGAAAGCAAAAACAGGGACTGGATCCCATCTAATAAGATGATTAAGAGGCTCAATGACCCTGTGAGGGTTACCATGGCTCAAAATGCTCAAAGGCCCTGTGAGGGCTACCATGACATGTGGGCCTCTGAAGGTTCCAAACCAAGGGTCGGAGTCTGAAGAGCATTCCTGCTCCACGTACTCATCATCCGCTTCTGGAGGCGGAAGATCTTCTTGATCATCAAGTTGTGGAACATCGTCTTGGATGAGGCACATGTCATCGGAAGTGGTGGCAACTGCCGTTTGTTGACAAATTCCTCGTCCAGTTGAGTGGTGTTGTCTTTTCTTGCCACGAAATCTAATAGGCCTTACACAAAGACGTTTTGCTTACCATGACACATGTATGGCGAAGGTATGCAAGTCCACCATGGTCACATGTTGTTGCAAAACAAGCAATATCGTTCAAGTCTGCACATCCTTACAACAAACCTTACAGACACCTTCCAAACTGATTTTTTGCCGGTCCCTGACTAAAAAAAAAGATGCGATCTAGAATATTTAAATTCAGCGTGGTCTGATCCACTTGCACCTATTTAGTCGGCCGTTCGTTCTGACGTTCTGCGTCCGATCCGAAGGTCAAATGCATGAACAAAGGACACCTCTACTAGGAGCAAGGACACTGCCCCTACAGGTCCAAAGTCCCAGTGATGACTTATACCTGTAGGGAATTCAGGTTCATGTGCTAGGATTTTGAATATGCCTTAGACCTGTAGGGAATTCAGGCTCTCAACACCTGAGACCCTCACCTGGTGGTGTAGGAGGGCCACAATTTTGCCAGGTTTCCTGGCATGACAATCCAGCTTCCCACAACCCCCAGAAAGATGCCAGCCCAGCACCTGGGCTATCAAAGCCCCCTTGAGCTGTTGCATCCTCTTGGATCCACCGTCTGGCCTGCGCACAGGTCCACAGGGAGTCAAGTGTGGAAACCTGGAGACACAGGAAGGGGCAAGGAAGGGGAGGGTCCAAAAATTGCAAGATCCAATGGAGTTTGACAGGAATCCATGTCGATCTGGATTTTGCATAGTTGGACCCTGAACAAAGGGATTTTGGTCAGATTTCCTGCATTTAGGGAGTCTTTGAGAGGCCTCCCTATTGCGAAGTCCTTTCAGCACTGACTGTAGTCTGTGAGATATTGGGAGTATAAGTAATATACCCTTATCCCTCTTCTTCACAGATACTTGAGTGAGTGGTGCAATGTGATGCTCCCCAATGGCCGAGGCCTTGATGCCCTGGAGGCATGGAAGGGGCCCTACAGGTCAAGGACCTGATTTGTCGACGTGCCTAGGGTGAAATCTGTGAACAATACCTCCAATACCCTACATGTCACGGAGTCCTATGTCATGAAGGATTCTAAAAAATATAGATTCAACTGTCAGAGGTTCTCACCAACAATCTGTCAGAGGTCATACCCAAGCCCGCCTTCCACTCACGCGATATCTTCTGGAGACATAGGAATGTAGTGCTCCTTAATTGCAATGACACCAGAACAAGCCAGTGGCCCTACCAGCACTTTCCACCCTAGACCTCTTCAAAGGGGCTGACCTGGTTGTGGGTGGGTCAGGGTCCAGAAGGGTCTGGAAGATGGGTCAACCAGGGCCAATCCAGGACGGTCCAGACAGGCTGACGTGGTTGTGGGTGGGTCAGGGTCCAGAAGGGTCTGGAAGATGGGTCAACCAGGGCCAATCCAGGACGGTCCAGACAGGCTGACGTGGTTGTGGGTGGGTCAGGGTCCAGAAGGGTCTGGAAGATGGGTCAACCAGGGCCAATCCAGGACGGTCCAGACAGGCTGACGTGGTTGTGGGTGGGTCAGGGTCCAGAAGGGTCTGGAAGATGGGTCAACCAGGGCCAATCCAGGACAATCCAGGACAGTCAGACATGAGGATACGTAAAATGTGGGAGTTGCAGGAGGGTCTGAATCACCAGGAAATGTGGTGGATCCAGTTGAGCTATATAGCTCAGTGATCACATGTCTATGCTTGATGGAGGGTTAACAGACCCAAGAAAACTTTGGGGGTCACACTTCCAAGTGGACCGAAACAGGTTCTAGATCCAAAAGTGAACCCTGCTCCATTCGGGTCGAATCGAACCGACGTCACGCAACGAAGTCGAGCCGACATCAAGGGTCATGAGCTCACAAACTGTGATTGGTCACAGAACTCATTTGTTCGGATCAGGACATAGTGCTACTTGGCAACCACCTGGGTTGGGGTCACCTCAATCAGGGTCCAGGCTCAGGTCCTGCAAGACCATCCAACACCCACTGCTCCAATTACTGCACACATTCCCCCACATGTGTGGCCAAGTGTCGGTGGAAGTCACCTTCCTTTTTGGCCCATTCCTGGATAGTCACAAAGACTGCCAACATGATGGTGGGCAAGAATCGTGGGGGAGGAGTCAAGATCCAATCCAAGATACTAGATTGCATTTGCCTCTGTGTGTTTGGCACTTGGGGCCTAGTACTTCTAGCACGTTTTCAAATCTCAAGGAGGAGTTTTAATTTGGAGGGTTTGGTCTTGCAGGGGTGTAGTTCACATCTTCAACACCAACCAGTCCTCCACATCATCATCAGGGTTGCACAGCTTCCAGCATTTGGCCACGTCCACAAGCGCAGCCTCACCAGGAAAGGCCGCGAGCGAAAGTGAGAGGCAGGATAGGAGACAGCTGTGGGATGTGGCAGGAGATCGGTCGATACGTTGGTCTCTGGGATATCCCACCCTGGTCTTATGGCAGATATCAGAATGGTATAACCCATAGCCTGAGAGGAGGCCTAGTTGGTGTTTTATAGGTCAATGGCACCAAACTGACCCATCTATATTCTTCAAAGGCAAACGGAAGGGTAGTGCACAGAAAGGGTTTTGCTATACTAACGTCGTGGAAGGCGGTTGACCTTCGTAGAACCCAAGGCTGTTCGTGGACAGTTCGTGGAATGGTATTTTTGATGCACTAACGGCACTCTGTCGGACATGTGTCCCTGTCGGAAACTGGAGCAAGACCTTGAGATGGACGAAGCCTGCTCATCACTGTGCGACGAACTGTCAGCAAGGACAGCAACACCGAGTCTGAGTTCTTGTGCGAAGACAAGGTGAGCAAGGTGAGCAAAACGAGCAGAAGCTGGAGCCACATCTTCTTTCGGCGATGAGGTCCTTGAGTGATGGAACACAAGTCACCTTGCAGCTCAAGGCTGGTGTACTACTTGCAGCTGGTTGTCCTGCCGCACTCGGACAAAAGAGGTGGCATACAGAAGGACAAGTACAGTGGGAAAATCTACGATGCGCCGATCCCAGTACTGACATCCATTCCCTACGGCCGCTATGCTAGCTGTGGCTAGCAACAGGGTCCATTGCGGGACAGCCACAGCCAGGAGATCAAATCCATGGATCCGGCATCTCCCATCGCCAAAAAGAATCGCGGCAGCAGCTATGAATCCTCACAGATGCAGGGTTCTCAAACTCGCGGAGGATATACTACAGCATGAGACCCAAGTGAAGAAGTCTCACATCACACTGTCTAACACAGTGTGTGGCTTGATCGAAGATCTATGACCTCCGGTGCTACAAGATACTGCACCAATCGGAGAACAGGTAGCAGGCAGGCATCTAGAAGCCTTACAGCACATCCTCTCAGAGCCCTGGGTCAGCTGGCCCAGTGAGCAAGATTCAAATCCTTGCTTGGAGTCAGGACCTGCGCCAACATGGAAGCATTTATCGATCATGACGTCCAAGCAAGTGAATGCCTTTAAAGAGAAGCGTTCGGCATCTCAAGCGTAGGCCGCTTGCAAACAACAAGAGACACTAAGCCCAAGGTTCACGCAGTGCATGGTGCATGGTGCAACTCTCATCCAACTGCTTGCAAGTGCAAACAGGCAGCCACCTCTGTTTCCACAAGAATGTCAAGGGTGTGTGACAAGAGTGTCCTACAAGAGTGGACCAGAGTTTTCCACAAAGTGTGTCCAACAAGAGTGTCCTACAGGAGTGGACCAGAGTTTTCCAGATCGATAAAAGGGTGTCCTACAAGAGTAGACCACAGTTTAACAGT